AAGAATTAAAGGTCAGTTTAAAATGCTAGCACCTATTGTTTACTGTAGACAGTAAGGCTGGCGCACCACGTCAAACACTGCGAGTTGTTTGATTGACAGGAAGTTGAAGGAGGGCCTTACTGCACCATCGGATTGCAGAAACACTGCCGTTGTTCACGGTTTTCATATTCCCGTTCGTTACAGCGCCAGTCTGGCAAAAATGCAATTTTTCAAAGGTATTCAAAAGCCCTTTGATCAAACACTTTCAGGGAATGAGAGTGAAACTCTCCCTGACCGTGGGTCAGATAAGATCACCATGGGGAGAAACTCCGGGGCGGTGAGGAGCAGCGGGTAGGATGCCTGCCTTTAAGAGCATTCGAGAGGGAGGCAGACGGGGTGTTCAGGCCAGCAGCAGCCCTCGGCTGCTGCAGAGTCCCAGGCGCTGATACGATCTGGGGGGCGAGATCCTCTTCACAGTTAAGAGGTGATGCTGAGACCGCTGCAGGGGACGAGTGGGAGGTGAATGGCACGGCTCCAAGCCCAGCACCCCCGTGTCCAAACCTCACTTTCATGTGGCTTACGTATGGGGATTTTTAACCCCCACCAAGCCACCCAGGCGCCCCAATACGTATGGGGATTTTTATGTCGAAAACATCTTTAAAAAGAGAGACACATTTACAAAACTTAAACAGTAGGGAAGTATTCCAATCTTAATACAAACTCTTCTGAGTAAGCTTTGATACAAACTTTCAGAGATTTTAAAAACTGTTTGGAATGACTGCTGTAACCATTAGTCACCACAGCCATTGTGACTGCAAGAGAATCAGTAGTCACAGCACAGCACGTCCTCCAGTGGTTTAAAAATAGTACCTCATAGCCACCTGTTTTATTCCATGCGGACTTTCTAATTGTGTTCGTTTGGGACAACAGGGAGTTTGACATTCTTTTAAGATTTGATTGCTAAAAACCATTATTTTTAATTTCCTAGGGTACTGCTTCTTTGTTCACACTTTGCCTGGTAAGACAGGGAATAGATGAATTTTGTAGACGTGCTCACTGTGCCAAAATGGAAATTGGAAACTGCCCCTAAACCTTTTAAAATGAAAAGTCCTCAAGAGAAAAACATATCAGACCTAACCACTACTTAGGCAGGGCCTGTGATAGATGCAAATCACAGACTTCCTTTTTCTCCTGCCACAAATGTCAGAAACGCTTGGCATCTGAGTGCAATGCGCTTTTCCCCCTTTCTGAACAGCTCAGCTTGGAAAGGTCAGCATATCCCTTTGGGGGAAAAAAAAATCTTTTCTTATAAATTGGAATGTTTGCACACAGAACTGTAGGAAATGCTTAACATTTGCTTTGATGGGACAGCAATTTGTTCAATAGGGTGGAATTGTTCTTCTTTTTCCATTTTCCTGCCTATTTGTGCATCACAGGCACACGAATTACTGAATGCAACTTTGAGCGCTTCTGAGATCACATCATCCTGTCCACAAAACCAGCCAACGCCTTGGGCTTCCGAAAGGCAAGCTACGTTCCATCTTTTATTTACTCCAAGGGACTCATTTGTGAGAGACTGCTCTGAATAAAAGCAGTAATTTTCCACACACTATACATACTGAAACCCTGAAGAAGGAGGAGGAAGGGCGGGGAGGCAGAGGGTGAGGAAAAGAAAAACAGAACAACGGGTCCAGGATGTCTTGTTTCACCTTTGTCCACATTTGTTTCAGTGTGGATAGGACATCCAGTGTCCCATGTCTCAGATGAGGTCATTTTGTTTGACTCCTCTGGTTTACTGAAAGAGGGATACAAATCATTATGACAAAGCAAGTCACTGTTTGTGATCAGCTGCCTCCAATGTGATAATCAACATAAATATTTGTGGTTTATGGAGAATTCTTCACCAGAGCCCATCTTTCCATCCGTCTTGAACCAATGAAGAACAGTGCTGAATTTGTGTGTTATATTGGTTTCTCTAGCAACAAGGGATCCCAAAAACAAGCTCATAATTTTTCTTAAGGTAAAAATACTTTAATTTAGCAATAGCCAAAAATAGTCGCAAGGAGGGACTGTAAGGAAGATAATGGCATCGAGGTATTGGTTGAGGCTGGGGCTGGACTACAGGAAGGGACCTGAGTCAGCATGGCTCATTATTTTGGGACACTTCCGATTATTCACCTCCAGAAATAGTTTCCCTTCCATTTCAGCCAAATTGCTCTACAGCGTGCTAAGTGGCCATGTGTGTCCTGAGGCGCATGTGTACTCCAAGAGAAGACACGCCCTATCACAGACAAATCACCTCTCTCCACACCTACATCCTTGTGCCTGATGTCCCATCCCTTCTGCCCTTTTAAAGGGCTTCTCTCCTTCAATGAATCCTTCCTCCTCTGGATTAAATTTCTTTTTCTCCATCGCTCAGCCACAAAAGCACACAAACAAGGTTCTATCTCCTCTCCATATTGAAAAATAAATGCTTGTAACTCGTATCTCCTTGTAATTACACTCACGTCCCAGCAACCTTTCAAAGTAAAACTTATTTTTAAAAAAATGAGCAGTACACATTGATTTCTACTTTTCCTCCTGGATTCACTCTGCAGCCCACTTCAATCTGGCTTCCATCTCCACTTCTCCAAAGAAAAGGATCTTGACAGTTGCTAAGACCTCATCAAAGCCAGTGGACATGTATCTGTTCTCATGTTACTCAGCTCCATGTTTGGATTTCCACACAGTTGACCACTCCTTTCTTAAATCACTGTCCCCTCTTGGTTTTCACAATACCACCTTCCCCTGGTTCTTCTCCTACCTTTGGACTGCCTCTTCTCAGCTTTTTTGTTGGTTCTCTGTCCTCTATCTCTATCTGAACGTGGACGTGCCCTAGGTCTGTCTTTGGCTTTCTTTCCTTCTTTCCACACTCTGGATGATTTCATCCAGCTCATGGTTTTAAATAATCTGTAAAGGCTGAGGAATCCCAATTTTATGACTCTAGCCCTGACAATGCCTATGGCTTCCACATTCATATATGCAATGACTTGCTTGGCATTTCCACATACATATTTATTCAACATCTCAAACTTACACTCCCAAACATGTTTCTCTTTCCATTCTCAGTAAATGACACCATCACTGACCCATGTGCCCAAATAAAAACCTGAGAGTCATCCTTAATTTCTCTCTACCTTTAACTCTATCGCATCGCCTCCCCGCGATCAATCTCTCTGCAAATCACCACAGTTCGGTCTTCGAGTTTTATCTTTAGTCAACTTAATCTCTAGGTCCACTTCCAGCACCAAGTTGTCATAATCACTCATCCAGACGATTCCAGCCGTCTCCCCGCTCCCACTCCTGCCTGCTTACGATGCATTCCACACACAGCAGTAGTTTAAAAAAAAAAAAAAAAGTAAAAACAAAACGCAGATCATGTCATTGTCCTGTTTAAAAGTCTATTCATATTTCTTACTGCACTTGGGATAAATTCAGACCGACTCTAGCATGGTCTACCTGGCCCCATACGGACTAGCCTCTTGTCCACTTCTCTGATAGCCCGCCTCCCTCACTTCTTTCCGCGATCTAGTCACTCGGGCCTCCTTGTTGCCCCTGTAACATGTCCTGCCCTTTTCTGACTCAGGGCCTTTGCATTTGTTCTTTTTGAAACATTTTTTCCTTGTATCTTAACATATGTGGCTCTTTTTAATCCATTAGTACTAACGTTATTTCTTCAGAGATTTGTTCCTTACCTTTACCCCTGTCACTCTTGGTTGAGACACTTTATTTGCTTAGAGGTACTTACCATCTAAAATGATTTTCTTCATTTGTAGGCATGTTCTGGGGTTTTATAGACAGAACCTAAGCTCCCTGGGGGCAGAAGCTTTGTCTGCCTCTTTTAGTCCTGATGGCTGATCTGTTAAAGTGCCTACCACCCAGTAAGTATTTGTTGGATGAATTAATTCATTCAAAAGCTATTTTTAGAAGCCCTACTATGTGCCACATACTGTTCTACGTTCTTGACATACATCTGTGAACAAAACAGAACACAGATCCCTGCCCTCAGAAACCTAATACTTTAGTAGGAGAGATAGGCAATAATCAAGTAAATCAAGTAAAAACACAGTATATTTAAAAGTGGTAAGTGCTAGAGGAGAGTTTCTGGGTGCAAACTTAGGCCCATCTCTTTTTTCTTTTATAGTGGAAAAAAACATTTGCTTTGCAGACACTTAACATCTGGCTTCTGAGGTGAACCATGGAATTGTGAGTGGTTTACCTCATTGAGATTTAGCTCCCTTACCTGTAAAACAGACTAATACCCACCTCACAAGGTTAGTGTGGGGAATAAATAAGGTTATATAAAATCAAATATTATCTCATCCTTCCCAGCCACCCACCCACCTTCATCCTATCATTCCAAGGGGAGGAAGCATACAGTATTAGCATGTTCTCCCTCTCTGTATCCCTAACATACTAAAAAAAAATCAACCCAACTTTTCTACAAATACTCAACACATCCTTAGTGAATAAATATATGACCAAACAAGAGTATGAGTAATTTCAGAGCAAACAATCAAAGCTACTTTTATTCAGAAGCAAAGTTTTTTTTAAAGACAGTAGGAAACCTCACCTTTCTTTAATAATTTTCCCCTTTCTCATTCCTTAAGTTAATTCCATTTTACAGACCCCTATTGATAAAGAAGAAAGGACCTATCCATTTAGTCTTTCTTACCATATACAGGAGTAAAACTAAACAGATAATTATTTTACAGGAGGATAAAACATTTATTTAAATGGAAACACTAATCTTTATTTTCATCATGCTGAAGTGTATGGTTACAAACAATTCCCAATAAAACACTATATAATAAGCAAAAAATAAGTTAATACATTGTGAACTTACATACAGTTTCATCAATTAACAGGTTTAGGAACAAACAAGCCATTTTACGACTCTGGAGCTACATTTAGTAAAAAAACCCCAAACACTCAAACCTTATCAACCCCAAGTAAGACACTAAGGAGCTATTCAAGACTTCTTCAAACCAATTACACGAGTACAGTTTTATTTTTGGTTACAGTCCCCTGCTGTGCACAAGACCACTGGAATGCTGTAACAATTACACATTTTTTAAATGGCACAAAGCGAAGCAAGGAGCGAACATGCCGGCCTTACAGAAGCTGTCTTGAAAGTGCAAACTCTGCATTTTCTCTTCCTGAACCACTAGGAGAAGCACAGGTACCTCGGACGACACGGCAGGGTCAGGAGCATGCTTTCTCTACCCCTGGTGGGACATTGAACTTGAACCACGTCTCCATGCCTTTGAAGATACCTCTCGTTTTAGACAGCGAACAGGTGTCAACTAAATATAGTGCAAATCAAATACCGAGGAGCAAAACGACAGAGCACAGACCGCCACAGGTTGACCCGCTGTCTCCCCCCATCCTCCCCTCCCCCCCCACCCCAGGGCAGCACGGGACACGGGACAGACTGGGACACGGTGACAACTTCTCTTCAGGTTTTGATGTGAAAGGCGGTGCGGCGGAGCGAATGCAGGGCGACCACGCAGCAGCCCCGTAGCAGCGCCCCGATGTTGTAGACGGGATCTGTCCCCCCTCTCTGAGTACTGAATGCCCACAGAACCGTGGGGACCACGGGGGCGGCCACGGCCAGGAGATCCACCAGGAAGCTGCTGCTCCAGTACTGCCTCCCGGCGGCCCCCCGCGGCAGTGGGACGACGACGTCCAGTCTCTCCTCCACGGAGCCTGCAAAATCCAGCTCTCTCATGAGGCGGTTTGCAGGGGCCGCCGGACCCCCCGCGGCGGATGGGGTCTCCACGGGAGACAAAAGGATGGCGGAGTTGGGATTTCTTGGCGTCAGATCAACCAGGCATGCCAAGAAGGACTCCGGGAAGCTCTCGGTCGAGTCAGCCCCGGACTCATCGGGAGACGCCGGGCTGGAGGGGCAGGGGTCCTGGAGCTTGAGCACATGCTGAATGAGCTCGGAGACCGCGGGGCTGTAGGGCACCACGTCAGTCTGCACGGCCTGCTCCACCAGCACGCCGCCCTCCTCCTGACCCCCCGCCAGGGGGAGCAGCTCCAGGGCCTCGGCACCACGCGGGGAGCGAAGAAGCTCCAGGTCGGGGGCCTCGCCGGTGGCGGCTGTCACCATCCCATCAAACAGATCTGTGCCATCGGCCCTGCCACCTCCCACCAGCAGCTCGCGGTCAGCCCCTTCCTCCACGACCTGCTCTTCCAGAGCCAGCCCATCCGCCATCTTGCCAAAAGGGGTGCCGAGGGGCAAGCTCTTCTCCGGGGAATCGCAGGGGAAGTCCAGACACAGCTCGTCCCTCAGAGAGCCGCTGTGCGCCATCTCCATGCTCTGAAGCAGAGACTCCAACTTCTTGTTCTGGATGTTTATGTCCACGAAGTATTTCTGGATGCCTTTATCTTTATCAGCCAAGCTGCTCCGCATCGTTTCGATGACCTGCCTGAGCTGTTTGATCTCTTTCCTGGCTTCCTTCAGGGCCAGCTGGGCCTCCACGCGGTGGCACTCTTCCTCGATCCAGTCTTCCCTCATGCGGGCCAGCTGCGACTTGAGCTCCACGATCTCGCTTTCCCTGCGGGGAGAAGACAAGCGGGGCTAAGGGAAGTGTCGGCTTTCAGCCGGGCAGACAGACGGCCATGCCCACACTCAGCCAAGAGCCCATGCTCTTCCCCTTGAAACGCAGAGGTTAAATCAGTTTTGAGGGTTTTTTTCCTCACAGGTATTAGCCAGGAACTGTCCCCCCTTATTTGTAAAATAGCCAAAATGAGAATAACTAGAATCAGAATAAAAAATGGTTTTTCTTTCTGAGGGCTTACTACCTGTCAGGCAGTGTGGCAAGTATAAGCACCATCCTCTGTTCAGTACTTAATATTTGAAATTTTGTTATAGGAATGCATTAGAGCTTCTTTGCCTGCTTGTACATCCATCGCCTACCCTTTCCTACGTCTACACCGTGTGGAAGGAAAGTTCGTTTCACTTTTAATCATCCACCACAGACACAAGGCAGACTGGTTAAGTCTTAGCCCTGCAGCGTTGTTCTGATCATAGAATAATCTGAAAATTTTTTAAATTAAAAAATGCTGCATGTCGCAAAGACTTTGTGAAAAGCTGATTATTCTGACTCTTCTCAAGGGAAGAGGATATGGGAGCCATCCGACACTGAAGAAGATCCATCTCACTGTTTCAGATCCTTCACAGGACCCTATCTCAAGATCTTTGTCGAAAAATTCTTCCTGACCTCTCATTTCTTCACAGTCAGTGTAAATACAAGTCCTCACAGTCTCCGTGGATATGAAGACCAGGCAGTCAGGATCGTGATCTGTATGAAGGGATGGTCAGTTTTGCTTCTCTTAGTTCAGATCGGACTATTCTCCAGTTCCATTGCCTTCCCATGCTTCCCTGCCATGACTGCTCAACCTCTCCAGTAGATTCCCCAAATCGTAAACAAAGATTTCCAGAAAGTGAGGTCTGACTCATGCTACCCTCACCCTGAGTTCACACTACCCTGGTCAGAGCTTGGTGTGGCTATGCCAGAATGTTCCAGGGGAAAATCATTAAGCAGAAAATCTGGCCTGCCCAAGATGTCAAAGGTCTTTTCTGAGATAAGATCTCTTAAGCACCAGCTGTTTTTTGGGTTTTTTGTTTTTTACCTTAACACTTAGCCAAGAATAACGAACCTCTTCCTTCAGCTCAGAAATAGCCTGCAGGAATCACAATACACAGGCCATCCACACTCTCAGAGAGAGAAACAGGGCTTGAGAGGGGCCCCTCTGTGTGACCCGTTCTGCTGGAAGTAGGGGACTGTTCCTGCCAGTGTTCCTGCCATGTAAAAATAGCCACGCTCACGCCCAACACTTCACGTCAAAGCCGTACACACCTAGAGAAAGCAGGGGATCCCCTCTAACCTGAAAGGGTCCCTCAACCTCCTGAAGGAGCAAATCAGGCAGGAACATGGAATGGCTCTTTTGAAAGACCAATTTAAGGAATTTGGCAAAAATTCAGTGAAATCATTTTTCTTCTTGTCTATTTCTCTAGAGCGTGGGCTTGGATTTTACTTGATGGGAAAAGAAAATGTCCTGCATCGGGGTGAAAGACACACAGATTCACCTTTCATGAAGCCGCCGCTCTGATTCCTTCAGCTTGGTCTTCAGGTGCCTCACGGTGACCTCTTTCTGCTGCAGAGGTGTCAAATACTGCTCTGGGTTTGGGGGCTTGACACCGTGATTTTCACCACAGGACATGTACCTTCCAGAGCGCCTGAAACAATCCAAGCAATGAAATGTTCCTTCTTCTGTGAGAACAGTTAGGGCACAGCTAACAGCCTGAGAAGGAATGGCAGCGGTGTCCGGGGGTCTTCAACCTCAGTAAAGGTGCTTCACTTGGGAAGGGGGACTGGAACCTACCTGCCAACTTAGGACCTCACGTTACTTGGGAGACTGTGGGGAGGGTGTTTGTGGAGAAGGTGGGGACAGTGGAGAGGGAGGATTCTCTATGGCTTAGGGATGAGCTCATACAAAATAATGCACAATTGTGCACGGGCCTGCCTGTGGGTTCAGAGTAACCCACTGTTAGATCGGAGGACAATGAGTGGGGCGGGTGGGGGGGCGAGAGTGAGATGTCCTGACTTTCCACACAGTGTGCCACTGCCTAAACATTCTGATTGTTAGGAGCTGGATTCAAATTGTTTCTTGATCAATCCCTGGGTGAGGGTGCCGATCTGGTGGAAGTTTCCTTCTTCCAATGGGTAAAGGCTACTGCACCGTCACCAGAGTGTGGTTTGTAAGAGAGGTGCCCAGGGTTCGAAAAAACTTCCTGAGCTGGAATGTCAGCCTCTCTCAGGCCTGGCCAAGCTCGGGGCATCCCTGCTTGACCAGAGCGATGAGCGAGAATGACCACCCAGAAGGAAGAAGACGAGGGAGGAAAGTTGGCAGCATCTGCCCCGACTCTGGAGCCCATCCAGGCCGCTACACTGGCTCTGCTCCCCCTGAGCATGCGCTCCGTCCAAGATGACCCGTGTCCAGCTTCCAACCTTCTAGCGCTTCTGTTGTGGCCCGTTAGCTTGCATAGGTCCTTTTCTCCAGAACCTCCTGCCCCCCAGCCCCCACCCCCAGACTAATTAATTCCTTGCTTGACCTTCAGATTTCATTTCAATATCATTTCCTCAGGGAGGCTTCCTCTGATCCCTCCAGACTGAGCTGGATCCCCTCCTGACCTCTTAAAAACACATACAGCAACCGGTACTCACAGGATAACCTTAAATGTGTTTATCATTAGATGAGCAATGTCTTTAGTGTCCTCCGGGCAGTAAGCCCAGGGTCCCTCTCTGCCATTCACTGTCCCGTTCCCAGTGTTCTACACAGTGCCTGGCACAATGTGGTACTCAACCCCTATCTGATGTTTGAATGAATGAACCAACCCCTGAATGACTCTTTCCTGTTCTGAGGGAAAGACGTTGGTCCCCCCCTACGGCCCCTGTGCCATTTTCCTCCCTGGCCTGTCACTCCTCGGACTGTTAAGCCGAACTGTTAAGCTATGCTTTGTGTTCTTTCTGCAGCTGCCCTGAGGGATTAGCTGAGTTGGGGAAAGGAAAGAGAAGTGACTTTACCACAGAATAAGGCTCAAGAGTTATATACCTTTTTTTTTTTTTTAAGTTTCTAAGTTTTTGCAAGAAAACTTACCGAGGAGAGCAAAATCAGACCCTGGAGCCCACTCACCTCATGACTGGGCTGCCGTCGCTTCCTTTGTAGGAGCCCGAGTTGCTACTACTTGGGGAGGAAGGCGCGTAACTGGGATGGATGTTAACGGGACTCAGCTGATTCCTGCACAGCATGGACAGAAAGTCCTTCTCCCGTGGGGAGGGCGGGCTGTTGCCAGACTTGTATGATGAAGCTCCATTACTCCGCCCATGGGGCCCTCGGCTGGGAGAAAGCATGTAAAATGTTCACATGCCTGGGGCGACCAGGGTTCCAATGCTAGTTACTACTAAGGAAATCCAATGCATAGAGTTGAAAGGGCAACATAATTATTGGCAAACTGTCCTTCTGAGCAGCCCTCTTCCCACCTGCCCGAGATTTCTTTCCATCTGCCGTTAGCATGGACAACCTCATCGCCTGCCATTCGTGCAAATAGTTTCTGACCATAAAGCTTGCTTTGGATTAATCCCAAATGGCTGTTAAGAGCACACCCCATGTCAAATATTGATTTGGTTGAGATCCCCTCTGGAGGCTGTGCCAGGACACCTGTTTCAGCTTCAACATGTTTGGGTTTGGCTCATGCTGGGGTAAGAAAACCAGGGTGGTTCATTTGGAGGATAAAGAGAAAGGGGATTGCCCACAGAGGAGGAAGAGAAAAGAGGAGAGATGAACATAGCCCACACAAATGTCTCAAGTCTATAGTTAAACCACCTATTTTCTTTCCTTTTCTTTCCACCCCCAATGACTTAACACAGCCTTTATCATTTAGCTGCTGAAGTGGAACAGCCCTCTTCTGGCTTCCTGGCCTGTCGTCTTGGCCCCTCAGCAACTGGAGTGGCCTTTCCAAAATGGAACTGGATGTCACTGTCCTCAATGGCTGTCATGGCTGCCCCCATGCCTCATGAGGTCCAATCCCACCTCCCCATCCAACCCATCCTCTGCCACTCCTCCCTCCTCCCTCTGTATTCCAGAAGTCCAAACAACTTACAGTTTCCTGATGATCCAAGCTCTCCATCACCTTTATGTGTTTGAACTTACAGTTTTCTCTGCCTAGAATGTCCTCCTGCTCCCTATGCTAAGCCTTGGGATATCTCCAACTTCGAGACCAATGGGAACCTACTCCAGGCAGCCTTCCTGGATTCTTCCTTCTCTAGACTTATGTACATGGGGCTCCTTAGTGGTCCCTAGTACTCTGAAATTTATCTCATGGCATCACAAACACACACTGTGTGTCCTTCCTGCTAGATGAGGGCGTTCTGAGGGCCGGAGCATAGTCTGTTCTGTCCCCACTACTTGCTGGCACATGGTGGGAGCTCCTGAAATAATGACTATTAAATGAATAAACTGGGTTGGAGCCTTGGCACTGCCACTTACTAGGAACTTAGGCAAGTAAGCTACTTAATACAAGGGGATCTGTAATAACCTTTCTTGCCTCCCTCGCAGAGTTGATGTGAATCAAAGAATGCATGCGAGTGCGTTTGATAAGATGTGAAGGGCGATTCAGCTGCAGGATAGTATGACAGGATCAACTTGTTTGGACTTCCCTATTCATTTACTTCCAGAGATTTGACACCCACTATGTAAGGAAGCAACTTGAGAATGATGAAATTACTTAAATAGGATAACAGTTCGGTGTCAGGAATATTTCTTGATGACATTACAAGGAAACAGAAGAGAACAAGATACTTTCATACAGAAGTACTGCTTTTTGACCAACCCCCTGCCCTTGCAGTTTCAAGTACAGCTGCACCCAACGGACGCATGTCAATGAGAAACGTGTGTAAATGTGCGTGTGCGTGTGGGTAAACTTGGCTCCAAAACTGTACTTATTTAAAATCAAATGTAATTTCAACTAGCTGTCAACCCAGTAAATCACATATAAATGAAACATCACCAAATTCTAAAGTTAAAAAGTTCTTTCCTTTTGAAATCATCCAGATAGTCTCTGCCTCCTTTTCGTGAGAAGGGGACACTTTATATGGAACAGATGGACTGATGGCTTTGTGACAAATCAACTTCAGCAGCCCAGGGGTGCTGGGCTGAGCAGCAGAAAAGAACACGGGCTCTGGCTTGGATCCGCTTCTCCACACTTCACTTCTGAGCCTAGTCAGCTGGCCTGACTATTTCTGAATGTGACAGTGAGAAATAGGCAGGATTAACCACTACAAGCCAGGGCTGAAAGTAGAGAGCTAGCCCTGAGTTTGACCTGGGCAATCCCCTTCTGAGTCAACCTTCACTAACGACCTTCTGAGACCCTAGCCCTGTTCCAGATGCTTTGAGAGCACAGTTTTACTTAATTTCAACCACCATGCTATAAAGCTGGTACAATTATTACCTCTCATTTACATTACATTAAGTATTCAGTTATGTGAAATAACTGTGGTTCAGGGGAAAATCTGGTCCAAAAATGCACAGCCGAACTAAGATTTAAATACAGATTTTTTTTTTTTTTAACTCTGAAGAAATGTCTCCTCACTTTACACAAAGAGAATATATTGTCTGGGGTTTGTAAACGGTATGTAGGTACTGGCTATGGATGTGGTTATTACCTGAAGAATTCACCACTGACTTTTACTGCAGAGCAGTCATTAAGATACAAATGAAATTAGATGGGGATTTTGAAGAACTCATCTGGTATACTGAATGAAGCAAAATCCCTTCAAGTACTAAACACTACTAAAGTACAATTAAATCTTCAATTATATTTCAGGAAATGAGTGGTTAGAATATAATAGCTAACTTATAAAAAAGAAACTACATGCTTAAAAGTATCAGTCTTATTCCTGACATTTAGTTCAGTTCAAAGGCTAACACATGGAAGTACAAAGTCATGGCAAAACATTTTCAAGGAGAGGCCAGGGGTCCATGTTCGCCATGGCCATGGCCGGGCAAACGCGATGCTACTTTCCTCAGCCCACACTAAACCCCTCGGTGTGGTGGACAAGAAGAATGCAGTCCACAAGGAGGAGACAGAATTCTGCTGCCCCTGCCCCCTCCTGCACACCTGAATACAGTGAATGGAAATGAAGAGAAAGAGAAGAAGGGAACCTCACAAGGGGCCAAGGAGAATGTCTATTCGCCTGATGCTGTCCTTTACTCCACGGCAACATTACCATTATCATTGTCATCACCACGGTCACTGTTATGGGCTGAACCGTGCCCCGCTCCAAATTCATAATATAGAAGTCCCACCCCCAGTCCCTAAGAATGTGACTGTATTTGGAAACATCGCTTTTAAGAAAGGTAATGAAATCCAATTAAATCCTATCCAATTCGCCTAGTGTCCTTTTAAGAAGAGGAAACGTGGACACAGGCACAGAGAAGGTTCCGCTGATGAAGCAGAGGCAAGATGGCCATCTCTAAGCCAAGGAGCGAGGCTTCCAAAGAAGCCAATCCTGCGGACACCTGGCTCTTGGACTTCCAGCCTCCAGAATTATGAGAGGGTGACTTCCTGCTGTGTGAGCCCCCAAGTCTGTGCTCTTTTGTGACAGTAGCCCGAGCAAAATAAAACGATCATCACCACCACCGTCATCATTTCATCCTCATGGCCATCAATATTATTCTTACCATTACTGATGAAAATATCCACTTATGACCCTTTTACAAAATTCTGGGCATCATGTTAAGCACCCATACGTTAGCTCATTTAACTCAGTGAGGAAGATGCCACTATTACCCCATTTTCCAGAGCAGTAAGGCTCGGAGCTCTGGCGTATGTGCCAATAAATACTGGTGGCTAAACTCAAGCCATGTCTCTCTGACTCCAAATTCCAAACCTTTTTTTTTTTTTTCTTTCTCACTTCTATCTGCGCTCGGTCAGATTAGGATTTTAGTTTAAGAAAGAGAATTCCTCAGGGGCACCTGGATGATGCACTCAGTTAAATGTCCAACTCTTGATTCGGGCTCAGGTGATGATCTCAGGGTCATGGGACTGAGCCCTGAGCTCAGCCTGGAGTCCGCTTAAGACTCCTTCTTCCTCTCTCCTTCCTCTCCCTCACTCTCTCGTTCTCTCTAAAATAAATAAATAAATCCTCAAAAAAAAAAAAAGAGAGAGAAAGAATTTCTCAGAAATGTCAGCAGAGTTGGCCTTCTGTAAGAAGAGATCATTTGTAAATCCTTAAGTCTTGTTTTTAAAATCCCACCAAAAATATTCTCACCAGCTCCACCTGTCACTTACTTTTCCCACCCCTTCATCCAATGCTTCTGCTCACCTTCCTCCCAGAAACTGATTCTCCACAGAGAAAATTCATTTATTATAGGAGGAACAAGCCATTTAAAAGGATCATAAGCTATTACAAGGTTGACAAGGATACCCAACCCATCTAGGGGAGTCGTCCTCGATACACAGCCCTGTAGAACACAAAAATTACGTGAAATGCCCAAGATACCACCTCACATAAATCTACTGACTATGCTCTGTGCCTGGGCCTGATTAAAAAAAAAAAGTTAATATAATAGATAGAACACTGCCAATTCCAATTTTCCATCTATTAAGCATGTATCTGATTTGCACATAATTCTACTTAGCTATTTTAGGTTTCACATATCAGTTTTTAGTCACTTGGAGAAACCATAGATTCCAGACTAGACAATTTTCTCTAAGTCACTCAGTATTGTGGACATTACCTTGGAACTTAACCACAAACACAAATTCTTTTGAAATGTTTAATAAAATTGGCTTCTTTGACAGGCCATTTCTTTTTTCCTCTTGTTCTCTGCTCTTTGAGACTTGTACTATATGTATGTGCTAATTTTCTTGAATGGGTTAGATAAATGGTTTATTCTCAGAGGAAGCCACAACTGATTTAAACAGAAAATGTTTATATTCATATTCTGTGGTCCTAGAGGTACTTTATTTCCAAAATAGATTATGTTTGGGGCTAGAACTACTGTGCTTTTTCATTGTGGACTTCACTCTTTTGTCACAGTTTTGTCTGGCTTCAGTTTTGTTTTTAACAGTAAAACTCTGCACTATGGTGTCTCAGAGGTCCCTTTATAAACATTGGCTAAATGTTCTGCTCACTGAAGAGAAATAGGAAATATTTGCTTGCTGAATCCCAAGAATGCAACTTTTTAGTAACTAATCAGTTTTTCTCCATGAAGGAAGGGACCTTAAAAATTATGTGGTCCAACCCTCTTTTTACAAACTTGGACACTGTGGCCCACGGAAGTGAAGGGATTTGCCTAAAATCTAAAGACAAATCATCCTCAGAGGTCTTGCTGCTCACTCCATTGAACTGTTTGGGTCCCTGGCTCAGAGTTCACTGTATCACAGAGGTCTCTTGGAAACAGCCTATCTTAAACATGCCATATATCCTATTAGTCTCAGTGGCCTTTCTCTGTGTGTTTTTTAAAAAATAATTTTATTATTTATGTATTTATTGTCTTTCTTTTCCTACTAGTGAATATAATTTCCATGAAGCTTTGTTTATTGCCCTATCTCTAGACCCTCATAGTAGATGCTCAGTAAATACCTATTGAATGAATAAGGTCACTGATAGTAGAAGAGAATCCTAGGCTTACCACTTTTCCCACCAAATGTGAACGGTAGCTCATGACTTCCCACAGCCCCTCTCTTCCCGCAACCCAAATAGCATCCATGGCGAACATCTATTGATGCTTGCTACGCTCTAAGCCGGACCCACACTCTACATGTATGAACTAATAAACCCTACGAAGTGGGTATGACTGTAGCCCTATTTTATATGAGGAAACTGAGGCAAAGAGAAGTTAAGCAACTTGCTCAGGGCCACACAGACTGTAGGGGGTGGAGCGGGCCCTCACACCCAGGCAGCTCGGGCTCCAGAGCCCACATCTGTAGCACTTCTGCTCTCACACCTCTTGTGGTGATGGCCACCACGTCTATGAACTTTATTCTCTTTTCACCCCTTCCCCAAGTGAACACTGGGAGTAATCAGGGCTCACTATGTCTTTTTCACGAGGATAAAATGCAAACTCAGCTAGTGGAAAGAAATGGTGAAGTCAGAGGCTTCACAGCTGAGATGAAAGATTCATGAAGGAGAGGCAGGTAGGAAGTGGAAACTGGTAGCTGGATACCAGGTAAGTACACAGATGAGTGAGGGAAGGGGATGGGAGAGAAGGGTGAGTGGCCACACAGCCAAGGCCTGGATGAGAGACGGCCACGGGCAGACATACCCTGGCCAAGCCCTGTGACCGCAGCTGGGAAGATAGTGAAAAGTGCCAATTTCAAATCATTATAGAAAACAAAAACTGCTCACTGAGTAATAACAAAATATGAACTGACAGTTCATCCAGGTGGTTCCACAGGAACGTAAAGGACAGGTAAAGTCACCTGTGTAAAGCGTCTTAATAATTACAGAGCAGGAAACCGTGCCTACTTGCGTGAAAAAGAGGACCGCTTGCTTCCCGGGGCAGACATATGGACCTCAGGAGCGGAAATGCTGCCCGTGCTGCTGGAGGAGCTAAAATCCGCTTCACTACCTGAAAAACAACAAGGGGGAGAGAGAGAGGCGTGAAGGAAAGAAACCTGAGAACAGGCTGGCCACTTCCCTGCCTGGCCAGGCCCCCAGGTCCCCGCAGGGGCACACTCCAGCTCAGCAACTGGCAGGATTCCAGAGCTTCCCGGCTCTCAGCCCCTTTCCTCAAAGCAAACAAGAGAAGGTGCGAGAACGAGGACAATATTTCATAAACACAGCTTAGAAGCCCACCGGGGCTGGTTTCATAAGGACCGATCTTCCTGTGGACACTCCCTGGTGGCCGAGGTGGGGACAGACACGCAGGGCTCTTCCTGTGCGTCCTCAGCCCTCCCTCGGCCACAGGAACGTTCTGGCCCAAACTTAAGGCAGAAGGAAGAGCATGCCTGTCAGTCCCAGAGTCGTTTTTCCAGAAGAGTGTATCTTTGGGCTTTTGCAGTCAGCTAGCCATTCCTGAATCTGGCCCTTTTAGGTCTGGAGAGAATCAGCCAGGGAGAAGCAGCGGGGAGGACAGTGAGGAGGGTTCCAGACATGTCCTTGAACCTGCTTTCTGATGAGTGACTCTGACTGCTCTGATGCTTTGCTTTTCTTCTTAAAGATTTTATTTATTTATTTGATGGATGGAGATCACAAGTAGGCAGAGAAGTAGGCAGAGATAGAGGAGGAAGCAGGCTCCCTGCTGAGCAGAGAGCCCGACCCGGGGCTCGAACCCAGGTCCCTGGGATCATGACTTGAGCTGAAGGCAGAGGCTTTAAATCACTGAGCCACCCAGGCGCCCCTGCTGCTTTTCTACTAAGAACACAACCTTCACGGGGGACCTGGGTGGCTCAGTCATTAAACGTCTGCCTTGAGCTCAGGTCGTGATCCCAGGGTCCTGGGATCAAGCCCTGCATTGGGCTCCCTGCTCACTGGAGAGCCTACTTCTCCCTCTTCTCCCTCTCCCACTCCCCCCTGCTTGTGTTCCCTCTCCCTGTGTCTCTCTCTGTCAAATAAATAAATAAAATCTTAAAAAAACAAAAAACAAAAAAAAAACAAAAAAAAACACATCCTTCACAAAAAGCCAGAACTGAACATTTCCAAGCAGAATGAAGAAAGTTCACAGTGACAGTGATGGAAACTGGGGTTAGAGGGATGTGTGACATTGTAGTTGGGGGAGGAGGAGGGAGATTGTTCATTAGTTTACAAAATCATGTTACATTTTGAGTACAGACTACAGATTGTTATGTAATTAGAAACATGTTGCGTGGCAGAATAATTAATATAAATTCATTTCTAACAAAAACATACAGAGTTCTGAAATGGTAATAATAGAACTATTCCATGGATTGCCTTGGAGAGTGAAGGAGAGTGGAAGAGGCAAAAAAAGAACAAATGGGAAGAAGGAAGAGACGATTTTTAAAAAAGGTAAAATTCTATAAGCTTTTGGAAAATAAATCTAGGTGTACAGTTTTATTTGACCTTATCTCTCAACTCCTACAACAGTTCGTGACTCTTCTGGTCTAGAACCCAGAGCCAGCTCACATTTCTGGGTTGAGAAAAATAGGAATGACCTAAAACCTTTGAGTTTCTTTTTTTATTTTTTATTTTTTACTTTTCAGTGTACTAGAATTCATTGTTTATGCACCACACCCAGTGCTCCATACCATACGTGCCCTCCACAATACCCACCACCAGGCTGACACAACTTCCCACCCCCCGCCCCTTCAAAACCCTCAGATTGTTTTTCAGAGTCCATAGTCTCTCATGGTTCATCTCCCCCTCCAATTTCCCTCAACTCCCCTCTCTTCTCCATCTCCCCATGTCCTCCGTGTTAAAAAACCTTTGAGTTTCTAACAAGCAGTAAGCTATAATTATCATCAAAATAATAACTATTTATTGAGTGCCTACTAGGCACCAGACCCTCTAGGACAAGTTTTCTATTCTTTGTATCTGTTAATCTTGACAGCTCTGTAAAGCAGACGTCAATCTCGCTTTCTACTACTGAAGAAATCAAAACTGATTTGCCCAAGGCTTGTGGGGGACAAATCCTGGTCAGGAGCAAGTCTCCATGCCACTTCTCCACACCATGCTGCATCTTCAAGAAGGCAGTGGGAAGGGCGCCTGGGTGGGAAGAGCCTCTGCCTTCTGCTCAGGTCATGATCCCAGGGTCCTGGGATCGAGCCCTGCATCGGGCTCTCTGCGCGGCGGGGAGGCTGCTTCCTCCTCACTCTCTCTCTGCCTGCTTCTCTGCCTACTTGTGATCTCCGTCTGTCAAATAAATAAAATCTTAAAAAAAAAAAAAAAAGGGCAGTGGGAAGAAGGAGGGCACTGGGGAGCTTCCTGGATACACTATATACTCCTGTTTCCCTAATGCCCAAGAGGACCCACTGGTACAAGATGCGGCCAGACTGGCCCACTGGTGAACAGATCCTCTCGCTGACAAGTTGTATTAATTTTGCTAGAAGGAAAGGCAATGGCAGGGCAGAGACAGAAGTCCCTTCCTGGACTCCCAGCACCTCTCTGGAAGTTCATCCTCTTCTGGAAAAGACACCAAAAATGGCCGCTTAGCACAGATGATGGCAGTGAATCCTAATTCCCAACAGAAGTCCAGGAGAATTAGGCAGTTTATCAGGACTGAGAGTGGCTATTCCTTCCGGATTTCAGAGACTCTGTCTAATGTTGTAACGGGCTCCCCAAATGTAATTAGTTCCCTCTGAGTAACGCACTAGCTAAACCCCAGTTTTTTACAGTCTCAAGGATTCATGATTGATAGTGCTATCCGGCAATATGCTAGTCCTGACCTCCTAATTCCACCGGCCCTGTCTGCTAGGAAATCATCAGGTTAGTGACTAAGTGATAAAGGCAGACAGTTTTCAAAAAACAGATCCTGTGGGTGCAGCCACCAGGCTCGAGAGATGATTTTCTAACGTAAGATTATGACTCCGAAACACCCAATTTTCATCCCTTAAAAGAAACGCAAAATCCCACCAGTTATAACTTAACTACCTGAATAAAAACAGAAATTCTACAACAGAAACAGACCAGACAACCGCTGAAAATCCATTGTTTCCTCAAGATGCCTTTGATCTGTGGTAATTATGTACTCTGAACTGAAGGGTCGAGTTCCCTCTCCACCTCACTGCTATTGGAACTTGACATATTGACTCCTAGGTATGGGCGGGGCCAACGTTTGTTTCTATACTTCTCTATCTTACCTTCTGGAAGAGGTTAGAAGATTCATGAAGGGTACCCAGCGGCTGCATGCAGGACTGAGTAAGAGGATAGAGAAAAACATCGACGCTACTTAACACCATTTCACTTTGCAATGTTTTAAAATGTATTTTCAGTTTGGTTAATGCAAGGTAAAGTCAATACACTCTTCTTAAGGGATACGCAGAAAGGTCAATTGTACTACATTATCTGATACGCAAACTCTTTCCATTTACTAAGCAAGATAACTAAGAGGAAGACTGGAGATCTGAAAGTCCCCTACCAGTTTACCTTCCAGCTGGCAACAAAGACTCCAGGAAGGAGAGGCTCTCTGTACTCGTTTCCTTTAATCAGCGTGTGCAACTAGGTTAGTGCTGTGGGGATTGTAGCTCAAGTATCATCGATATTATTCAAACCATACACAAACAGCACCTAACCTAAAAACACAGGCCCTGCGTCAGACAGCCCGGGTTCAAATCCCACCACTACTCCTCACTAGATGGGGCCCTTCCGGCAAGTTACTTCACCTTTCTGCGCTTCAGTTTCTCCATCTGTTACACGGAGATGATAATCATGGATTCTGCCTCTTAACGTTATTGTAAGCAAGGAATGTGTGTGTGTGTGTGTGTGTGTGTGTGTGTGTGTGTATTTACAAACACATGCATATACACACACACACATATAAACTACCTGATCCCTTGTAAGGTCTCAATAAATGTTAGCCATTCTTCTCCTACAGGGGTTAAAAAGACAACTTTTATTACACATTTCCTTTGTAGGAAATTTAGAAAACAGCAATGATCCGCAAAACAAAATGCGGTCTATTATTCCATCACCAAAAAATAACTAAAGTTAACCTTTTGGTGTATAATTACTCAGCATTCCTAGTTAATACGTTACTATGTAGCCTAATTGCTTTTCTTTTAATATGTGAATATCTTGAAAATATACTACATTTTAGGTTTATATATATACACACACACACACACACACACACACATATATATAATATATATTTAAGATATATTTATATATATATTTAAGATTTATTTGAGAGATTGAGAGAGCAGGGGGAGGGACAGAGGGAGAAGGAGAGGGAGAGAGAAACTCAAGCAGACTCGGTGCTGAGTGTAGAGTATGAAGTGGGGCTCGATCTCACAACCTTGAGATCACGACCTGAGAGGAAAACAAGAGTCAGATGCTTAACTGAGCCACCCAGGTGCCCCTGTGTTGTGTTCTATTAAATCAGTGAGTATATAGGCTATGTTCAATTTTTCTATTATGAGTAACAAACACTATGTGCCAGAAACCATTCTAAGCATATTTACTTATCAACTCATTTACTTCCCATGATAGTACAGACCTTATGAGGTAGGGACAATTATCAGTCCCTGTTGCAGATGAGGCAGAAAAGTTGAGTGACATGCACAAGGGGAGACAACTATCAAGAGGTGGAGGCAAGACTTGTACTTAGGCCAAGAAGGCCAAGGAGACTCCTCGCTGAGCTGGGAGCCCAAGGCAGGGCTCAATGCAGGACCCTGAGATCATGACCCGAGCTGAAGGCAGACGCTTAACCAACTGAGCCACCCAGGTGCCCCCTTGTCTGCTATTCTTTAGAATCAATGCCTGAAAGAATTTTTAAGCCAAAGGATATGCTCAATTTCAAGAAATTTCATATTGCATCGCATATATTTTTGGATGGCATTAGCCTAAAGCAGTTTTTGTGGTCAAGAGCGTGTTTGTCTCCACGTGCCTGTGTGTAGATAACTAACCTCGAATCTGATGTCACAGAGAATACTCGGAAAGAGCGCAGGACAC